ATGGGTACTTATTGTGAATACTCTCGTAGTATTCGCCGAATTCCGTGAGCAAAAAAAAAAAAAAAAAAAAAACGTGTTGCCACAGACAGAGGCAAGCAGAGCGATTGTGAAAAAAAAAAAAAGTGATTGCCGACGACAACGACAGCAGAGAAATGATGACAACGACAGTGACAGACCATGTCATAGGCCATGTCACTCAGATTCCACAGCACGCAGATAAAGAGACGCCACGTCAGATGACATCTCAGATGCGACGCCAAATGCCACGTCACATGCCACATCAGTCATTTGTATGCCACGTCAGCCAGATCAGACAGACGCCACGTCCAATTGTAGATCAGACATGCCACGTCAGATCGCATGTCAAATAGCGCACGTCAGGTTGCACGTCATACATGACACGTCAGATCGCCACGTCAGACATGCCACGTCAGATGGCATGTCAGATATGCCAAGTAAATGGCATGTCAGATATGCCAAGTAAACGGCACGTCAGATGCCACGTCAGATGCTACGTCAGATGCCACGTCAGATGGCCGGAGGAAGGCGAGGAAGATGATAACGAGGAGGCGGAGGAGGTGATGATGGAAGCGATGGTGGCGCGGGCGCCATCGAGGAGATCTTCACATCCGTGAGCGAAAAGCGATAAAAATAACTCAAAAACGAGTCCTGCAATGGAAGATTGACCGCGGGAGGAACGCGAGAGGAGCATGAAAAGGAGTAGGAGCAGGAGGTAATGGTGCTGACGATGGTGCTGGCGATGGTTGAGGTGATGAGGGTGCTGCTGCTGATGATGGTGGCGGTGGTGGTGGTGGTGTGTGGGTGGCAGTGGTCTTCCAGTGGCATACAACGTACGTTCATGATTCGTCGCAATCATTGCCATGAATGGTCACAATCATTGCCATGAACGAGTCCTAGATACCGCAATAATGACCATATACGTTGTATTCGGGCGAAAACGATATGAGCGTACTCTGGCCTCAGGCATAGCCATGGTCACAATCATTCCCTCAGGCATCCTCCACGCCATAGCCGTCGCCTGTCCGATAATCTAACACTGAAACGCCATAGCCGTCACCTGTCCTGCTATGGCGGCTATAACCGTCACCTCTCCGGCTATGGCGGCTATAGCCGTCACCTGTCCTGCTATGGCGGCTATAGCCGTCACCTGTCCTGCTATGGCGGCTATAGCCGTCACCTGTCCGGCTATGGCGGCTATAGCCGTCACCTGTCCTGCTATGGCGGCTATAGCCGTCACCTGTCCGGCTATGGCGGCTATGGTGGCTATGGCAGCTATGGAAGCTATGGCGGGTATGGTGGCTAATGGCGTGGATGGATATTTTTTCACTCTTGTTAGGGACGTCATAGCCGCCATAGTCGTGATAACCGTCGCCGCCATAGCTCAACGCCATAGCCGTCGTCGTCACCATAGCTCAACGCCATAGCCGTCGCCGCCATAGCCGCCATAGCTCGACGCCATTGGATTCTGCTTGCCACGTGGACGTAAGAGTTTTTTACTTTTTTTTTTTTTTCTCCTGACAAATCCTTCGATCCATCATTGCCTTAAGCTCAACGCCACAGCTGTGGACTGGTGGGCAGTCATACAACCTATTTGCTTGCTTTCTCGGTTCAGGTACGGAAAACGTGGGGTACACGTTCGTCGGTCCAGCTTGATTATTGGCGGGAGATGCGAAATTATTGGCGGGAAACGACGAGGCGGGAACAGTAGGCACATGATCGACAAGGCCCGCTCCGCAGCAGGAGGGCTCGGGCTCGATCTGTCAACAGCCAGGATTTGATGATCGCAAACTTTCAAAAGGCGTGCGTTAGTGATAGAATAGATGGCCGCAGTCGGAGCCACAGCACCGAACAGACTCAGTTTTTTTTCTGACAGATCAAGTCAAAAATCTTCTTTCTTTTTCATTAACTCCTTTCTTTATTCCCTTTTTCCTCCCAGAAATCTTCTTCTTACCCGATTCAGGAGAGGAAGACCGGAAAAGCAGGCGGGAGAGTTTCCAGGGCAGAATCAATCCAAAAATCAATTCTTGCTTGCTTGCTTGATTGATTGATTGATTGATTGGTTGGTTGGTTGATTGGATGGTTCATTGATTGGTTAATTGGTTTATTGACTGATACAACCGAGAGAGTATCCAGGGGAAAATCAATCAATCAATCCAAAAAATCCATTTGCTTGCTGGATTGATTGGTTGATTGGTTGATTGGTTGATTGATTGGTCGGTTGATTGATTGGTCGGTTGATTAATACAATGATTAACTGATCGAAACACCGATTGATTGAAACTAGTTGATTACACTTCCCAGTGACTGATTGATTGATTGATTGATTGATTGATTGATTGATTGGTTGATTGATTGGTTGATTGGTTGATTGATTGATTGATTGGTTGATTGATTAATTGATTGATTGATTGAAATGAATGATTAGATTTGTGTCATTGCCAATTCATTGCACGAGGCTACCGCTGCTACATTTCGATTTTGTAGAGTGGCTTCCACTACTCCGGCTGCTCCGCCTGACCGATGTCACAGTTCAAGCCCCCCCCAACTGCATGTCACGCTTCTGCTCTATGGTGGGGCGCTAGACACCAATTAAAATAAAAATTCAAAATTTAAATAAAAAATACGGCTTCCGCTCCATCGACTGGGTATGGATCGATGGAGAGGTGAAAGACAATAATACTTGAAAAGCACCATGGGACTGCAATTCAACAATAAACTACTAAAAATAGAATTTAAAAGCCGTACTTTTGTACTTTGCTATGACCGGAATAATATCTCTTCATCCGTTGCACGTCCCCTCCGTGAGGCTAATTCACTATTTTTTCAGTTTTTTTTTTTTGCGGAAATATTTCATATTCCGAAAAAAGCTGGCACGGACATTCGATTCGAGATCGACTGCGTTCGAAAAACACAAAAATCGATTTTTGTGTTTTTGATTTGGCTCAGCCAAGTGTTGTTGGGGTAAAACCCACGAACCAAAAAAAAAAAAAAAGAAAAAAAGAAGAAAGACTTGGTGGTGGTCCCAGCATGTCACGATGTTTCTTTCCCGGTTGTTTGTGAAGAATTCCCAGCCTTATGTTTTCATGATAATGCATTCCTTGCTTTTCCCAAAAAAGATAAAAATTTAAAAAATCGAGTGAGTGGATTTCCGGCGGTGGGAGTTCTACGTGCTGTCCGCTGCTTCGAGATGAGAGAGAATTGGCGGGAAGAGAAAGAGAAGAAAATTGGCGGGAAGAGAAAGAGAAGAAAATTGGCGGGAAAACTTTGGGAGTTCCAGGTGCTATCCGCTGCTTGGAGACGAGAGAGCATAATGCTAAGAACTAAGCGCGCCATCAATAAGGCGGGAAAAATTGAATACCTTCAAAAAACAAAAACAAAAACAAAAATACGGGAGAGACAGAGAGATTTAAAACAAAAGGAGTCAAAAATTAAAAAAAAGGAAAGCATGGAGATCAGTCAGAACAAAGAGAGAAAGAGAGAGAGAGAGAGAGTAAAGGGAAAAAAAAAGAACAAAGAGAGAGAGAGAGAGTAAAAGGAAAAATAAAGAACAAAGAGAGAGAGAGAGTAAATGCAGAGACAGATGTCAGAGGAATACCAAAGACGTGAGATTGGCGGGAAGAGGGCTGAGGGGAACGGCGGGAAGAGAGTGGACGAAATTGGCGGGAAGAGATGCCCACGACATTGGCGGGAGCAGAGCCGACGAAAAGCCAACGAAATTGGCGCAAACAGAGCCGAGAATTGGCGGGAAGGGACAGCGAGCGAATGGCGGGAGCAGAACCTACGAATGACAGGGCAAAAGCTGAACATTGGCGGGAAGAGAGCCGACAAAATTGACGGGAAGAGAGCTGACGACATTGGCGGGAATAGATCGGGCGAATGGCGGCAGGAGAGCCGACGAATAGCAGGCGCAGAGCCTAGCATTGGCGGGAAGAGAGCCGACAACATTGGCGGGAACAGATCGGGGGAATGGCGGCAGGAGAGCCGACGCCTTGGCGGGAAGAAATAGCAGGAGCAGAGCCGAGCCTTGACGGGAAGAGAGCTGAGGATTGGCTGGAAGATCGCCGAAGATCGCCGGGAAAAGAGCCGAGGACTGGCGGGAAGAGAGCCGAGGATTGGCGGGAAGAGAGCCGAGGATTGGCGGGAAGAGAGCACAGGATCGACAAAACTCAGAGATCGTGGAAACGAAAGACACAAACAGCCTGTGCTCTCACAGGGTCGAGACACGTGTCAGATCGACGAGCGAACAATACAGACAAAAGCACACGGAGAGCGAGCAAGCGAGGCACAGAGAGAGAGAGAGAGAGAGAGAGAGAGAGAGAGAGAGAGAGAGAGAGAGAGAGAGAGAGAGAAAGAGAGAGAGGGAGAGTGAGAGAGGGAGGGAGGGGGGAGGGAGGGAGGGAGGGAGGGAGGGAGGGAGGGAGGGAGGGAGGAACGAAAGAAAAGGCAGATTAATAAGATTCGGCGATGGCGAGCTAGATATCGACAGCTCACCTCATCTTCAATATCCTTGATCTTTTGCATAACGGTCGCCATCTTCGATACCTCCCTTCTTCTTCTTCTTCTTCTTCTTAGTCACACACAATCTCACAAGTGAGAGACGCCTGCCGCACAAGTCAACGACTCCCGATTGATGTCCTTGAAATTGCCGGTCACTTCCAAAGCGATCGTGTGTGGTCCCACAGGTCTCTATTCGCCGCTGCGTGCGTCGCCCAGACTCGAACCAGCACCCCTAGATCGAGAATCCGGGTCGGGATCAGGTCCGGACGTTGTCAGGCGAGAGGGGGAGGAGAGGGGGAGAAGGTAGGGGGTTGATGAGTTGAGAGCAGAGAGCGAGATGCTGAGCAAAGAGCCAAGCGAAGGTAAAAGAGAGACAAGCGAGAAAAACCAATCTCCCTCTCTCTCTCTCTCTCTCTCTCTCTCTCTCTCTCTCTCTCTCTCACACACACACACACACACACACACACAGAGGACGTATGTGAACGAGTGCTGATGAGAGGGAGAGCGAAGAACAGATCGATAGTTCTCTCGCTTCTTTTGCGTAACAGTTGTGCTTGTTTGAAAAAGAGAGAGACGAAAAGAGGAAGACTGTGTGCGTGTGTGTATAGTGGCATACGAGGGAGAGAGAGAACGTCCTCAGATGGGACAGATTGCAAGACCAGTAGGCGCGGGGAAACGCGCGCGGAAATGTTTTGAACCCTAAGGGCACACTTAGCCCAATACTCGCACTACGTAGGACTTTTCTTCGACTGATGTCTAGACGTGATTCCAGTCAGACTACGACTTTCTTCGACTGACCTCTAGACGTGATTGCTGTCAGATGCATCCACGACTGACCATAATCGCAGTCAGATACATTTCGGAAAGCACTTGAGCATGCCCTTACTCTGGTAGTACCTTGACCCCACTACCGGAAATTTGAGGGGTCACCCTGAGGGTACTACCGTGTGCGTATACTACGCCATGTTGCTCATCCACCCACCAAACCTGCTAGATCAGGGACTGTGGCTACGTAATGCTACGCAAAGCAAGACTCTGGCCGCTGTTAGACCCAGGTTCATGCTTTTCAAGCATGAACACAGCACCAGTGGCGGCTGCCCCTCAGTCAGGAAAAACTACTGGCTTTGTGAGTATACCAAGTGGCCTGTAGAGGCCACTAGGCCACTTGGCATACTCACAAAGCCAGTAGAGGCCACCCGCGCACGCAAGTGGCATTTAGGCCTCACACAAGTGGCATTTAGGAGGCAATCCCTATACGGCCTGCGGTATGCTTGGTGCTGACCAAGCGATGGTGGGATGGATCCTCATCCTCCCGGTATCTTCAACCAGCACGTATATGAGTGTGAGTGTGAGTGTGCCTGAGTCGCATATGGTGTGTGGGAAACGTTGTTACTCGATGGGGTTGCAGAAAGATGAAAAGGGAGGCGCAGCTACTGACAAATACTCACTCCTTGTGTTAGTCGTCGGCGGCCCCAGCCATGCATGCTAGACCACTAGGGCAAAGGGCAAACATGCAATTCCTCCCTCTATCGAGAGAGGTAACGTCCATTCACTAGTAGAGGTAGCTATGCTTGCAGGGGTACCCTGTATAGCCTTAGGAGTAGTGGTAGGTAGGCAGTGGAAGATGAAAATAATTTGTGACAAGAATACAACGAAAGTTTTAGTTTAAACCATCGCCACCTTTCCCGCTATTGGAAAAAGTGGCAATGTAACCTATACTGCATTCTTCGGGGAATAAGGCCAACAGTGTGCATAATTTTTTTATGTCTTCTTATATTCCCAATGGTTTCACGTCGATACAGTAGTTTTACACCAATTTTATATGTTACGATGAAGATACCTAAAAACGGTATCAAGCACTTCATACATTTCAAATCATTGTTGCATTTTTATATATTGTCGATTGAATGGAGAAATTTAAAAACGGTTTCACAACTGCATGCAATTTAGGTAATTGCCAAGGTTTTAGAGTGGTGTTGAGTGTTTGGATGGGGGACGCAAAAGTCGTTTAAGAAGATCCACTTTATGTAATGTTGACGATTTCATATCTCCTCACTTTAATCTGTTGAAATAACCTCTAGGTGGCTAAACCTTTTGGAAGTGGTTTTAGTTGTCTCCATCAAAGCAAGCGGTTAACACAAATTCGATTGATCTCACACGACGTTCATCCAGGTCGCAGTTACCAAGTTCTGTCGGGTTACTTACAGTCGGTAAATTCATATTGATAATAGATGTTGGTGGGGGGGTAGTCGTTTTAGTCATTTCATACCGATATTTCATGTTTCTATAATAATTAAAACAGTTCAAAATATATGAATATTTATTCGGAAACTAGGCTACCAGAGTGGAAGGAATTCAGAGAACTGCAAAGCCATAGCACGCAGTCAACGGCACAATCGGCAAAAAATCATACACACTGTGTGTTCATCAAAATAACTTAATCTTAAAAACTCACGTTAACACGTGGTTGTTAACGATGAATACGTGAAGCGCACAGATGAGTGATGAAAGGCACGACTTCCACGTCATCACATCCCCTAAAACCAACGATCCACTTCCTTAGTCAAGTCGATGCGACTTAGCAAAGAGAATTATCTATATCTTAGTCCGGCTATTTATGCAAATGTCAACGAGATAACTCCTCCAACTCTGATGTACAGGCCGTCGAAAACAAACCACACTCTGACCTAACGACAACTCTCAGGTAAAAAAAACATGCGAAAACTAGTATACCAAGTACAGAGTCATAAGTACTATTATAGAGTTTGAGTCTCATCATTGAAAAACACTATACTCAAAACGTGGTCACCACTCCCATGTAAGCACCACGGTAGAGTTCGAGTCCCCAAAAAATCGTAGTACCAGGGTTTTTCGGTTCGATCCTGATTCGAACCTTCCCTGGTCCGGGTATCTGAACACTCCCATCAAACAACCTATCTGGATCAAAGGGTTGTCCCTGGTCCGAATAAACCAAAAGGCGTTCAGAAAACACGAACAGATCATATGAACACGACAATCATCACAAATGACATCATATCGTGTTTATCATTGAAAAACCAATGCTTGTACATAGTAATTGTTAGATAACAATATTGAAAACAGTCTCCATATCGGTTTTTTTCCCCGATTGAAGTTTCGTAACGCCAACCCGAACCAATGGGGTGAATAGTTGTCGATTCACAGTTCTATTCTCAGCAACTTGAAGATAAACGAATCCAAAACTTTTATCCCCATACATGAGTTTTGGTCAATCCGGTGAACTGCACTCACTACCACAGCCATCCTCGTTCGTTTACAGTTCGAAGAGTTAAAAGTTTTGAAGAGTACGAAATGAGAGTTCCTCTCCCTTTCGTAGTTGTTGGTCATTTTTCGCCATCTGCACAGTGGAAAGGAAAAAAAAACTCTTGTTAATCCACAATCTATAGCCTAAGAAGTTTTAGTTGTTCATCCCCTCGTCAATCCTTTTAAGACCCAATGCCCGATCGTAGTAGTTCTCAAAGCGCTCCAGGAGCTTTTCTGCTTTTGCTTTGTCACCAACCTTCTTTTAATTGTACGCTGCGAAAACGGACACATCGTCCACAAAGCGCAACCCAACAAATAATCGTTTTTCACTCCCCAAGATCATGAGGAAATCCCACTCGTGTTTTGCACATATCAGGCAAGCCAGCGGGGGGCTAAAACTTTTCCCCATCAGTATCCCAATGACTTGCCGAATAAGAATTTCACATGCCTTAGTGTAGCAGAAATCAAGTTCGAAGGCAACAAAATAGATCAAGTACTCAAATGATACGAAAGTGAAGCCATCAATCCGTTGACCCTCACTCAACGAGCCTCCCGTCCTCTTTTTCTTATGAATACTCCTTTGCACCCCCTTTCAGAAAACCATCAAACGACCCATCCTACTGCCAACCTGATCTTCACATGAGGCAAGCGACTAAACATATCCTTAATGTCAAATGACGCATCAATAATTCCCACATTATGCCTTCTCCTCCCTAATCGTTTTTAATACTAACGAGTTTGCTCTTCATCCCAACGACAAATCTCAAATTGAAATGACTTGACTCAGGAAGGGAAAACAACAAATAATTCAATCATTTTGCTACAACCTTGCATGTTTTAATGCATGACTCATCGAAAGTGGGACAAATAGGATAATACTTTTTCGTATCTTTGTGCTTTGGTACTCATATGCACTCCCGATTCTCCCTTTAGAATTTCATTTTCCCTAACATGAGAGTCCACGTGAATCGTATTCACGTGCGGTCAGTGCAAGCACATGTTCTTTCTGCCCACCGCAAATCCTATAACCATCGTTTATCAGGAATATTTCTTACGTGTCTTTATCATACAATCGTAGATATAAAACAAGGGTATCACCCAGATTTTTGTCTAGAGGGACCAACATCAGTCCGTTTAGCTTCCTCCATAGTGCCAACACCTCGTCCAATCCGTTCTCATAGCACTGACTTATTTTAATGATGAAACACTCTTTAACTCCTACAATGGAGAAGGTACGGTCCCCATCCATCAGCTTCGATACATCACTCCATGTATGAAAAGCAATAGCCAGTTCCTTACAAAGTAAGACATCCCTCTTACTATCCTCGCATCTCCGCATATTTTATGCATTACAAACTATCTGAGGTATGTCATAAAGTTCACCAATATGAAAATGTACGTGCCCGTTCCTCTTAGGGTAGGGCAATCCAGCACAGGGACAACTGGATGCACGCACCGCTGCAAACTGGCGGTGGTTGTTGAGAATATCGCCCACAAACTATACTCAAAACGTGGTCACCACTCCCATGTAAGCAACACATTAGAGTTCAGATCCCAAAAAAATCGTAGTACCCGGGTTTTCCAGTTCGGTATTGATTCGAACCTCCCCTGATTCGGGTATCTGAACACTCCCATCAAACAACCTATTTGATCAGGTTTACCAGAGTGGTCGGAAAAACTTATTTTTTTTAGAGTTTTTTTTTTTTTTTTTTAAGGGGGGGGGGCGCACCTTGCCTGGTCCTTGCATAGTCGGATCGCCCAGGAAAATATGGTGAGCCCTAGTATAGAAGTAAATAATTTCTTCATCAACATTAATCTCTCACCCCTTATTTATGTCAGTTTTCTATTTGTTTTGCCCACGTGTTATAACAAACCACTATGTTTGTTTCTGACCCTGGTGACCTTTCGTTATTAATCGCGCTTAATGACCTTCAAAATGTGACGTTTAATTTTTGTATTTTAATATCGAGCCCAATAGAAACTTACCTTTGAACAATATACGTTTATTTTATCAAATTACTCATAAGATAATTACTTTTAGAACCAATGTCAAGTAGTCTGATTTTTTAAAAGTCAGAGTTATTTTTTATTTCAGCAGATTGAGTCAGGTTTGACAAAGACTTACTTCCCTTTGAATATTAAACTTGTATTTGCTCTAAAATCAACAAAAAGGTAATTGTTCTTATAACAAATGTTACGTAGCCCTATTATTTAGAAGTTTCATTAAAACAATGACTGTTCTTACAACAAGAAGGTAATTGTTCTTATAACAAACGTTACGTAGCCCTATTATTTAGAAGTTACATTAAAACAATGATTGTTCTTACACTTTAACCTAGTGGACTCTCCATCAGTTTCAAATTATTTTTAAGAAAGAGTCCGCTAACCAAAAGTGCATC